CAGTTAAAATTCATAACAATGTGTGTTTAGGTTTTTCCAACTAAAATCAAACCTGTTAAGACTTTGGCATCTTTTTGCATTTGATTCTCTAATTTCATGTTGCTGTGTGGAAGATATACCTCTTAATTTGACTCTTCTTACTCAAGAGGGATTCTAAAGAGTCTATAGTGGGTTAAATAGAGAAGATTTGTGGTTCTATTCTCTTTTCTTTTTAAAATTAGACATCCCAATCATTAAGGGTAAAAATAAATATGGTTTGAGGAGAGACAAATTTGTACATGTTCCCAAGAATAGGAGTAAAAGCTATGTTGACAAGGGTATTTCATTAACAAGGTAGGACTTCTTAATGTAGAGGAAGTTAAACATACCTGAAATTCTGAAACAAATTCAGAGTCAAAATAACAGTAAAGAAAGAAATGTCATTTTTTTCAGGATACCAGAAAATAAGCAAAGAAGTACACAAAATTCTTCCAAACAAATGATCAGTGGATGAATTAATTAGCACATTTAAGTCAGTGATATAAGTTGGGTGTGATAATACATGCCTCTAATCCCAGTGACTCAGGAGATTGAGGGATAAAGATCACAAGTTCAAGGCCAGCCTCAGCAATTTAGTGAGACCCTAAGCAACTTAGTATCTATCTCAAAAATAAATAAATGAATAGGACTGGGATGTAGCTCAGGGTATAGCACTCCTGGTTTCAACCCCAACTACAAAACAAAACAAAGATAATGATGTATTTTGTTCACTCTCTTTAATTACTAATACTCTGCTAACTTGATGTCATAAAAATCAGAATGTTCTAAAGTGTCTCAACTATTTATGAGACCATGACTTTTTTGTGTCAATCAGCATTTGGTTAATTATAGGTCTGTGGGAAGGTGAGTACACTCTCTAGGGTAATAATTATTAACTGTGAAATAATTGAAACTATTAAGTTTCTGTCCRTGGGAGTCAAATTACTATGCATCCATCTAAGTAATTCTACCATTTTGAAAAAATACAGGTTGAAAAATACATTTTTGACATTGAATCTATTATAAGCAAAATTTTTGAATATAATTATTTTTAAAGCAATACAGAATATCCTAGATGATTGCCAATGGTTACATTCTAATATCTAAATGTGGAAGGAAGGGTTATTAGTTTCTGACTGAATAAAGGCTAGGATTAAAGACAAAAACTTTTTGCTTATCATCAGTAGTTCCCATTTTGTCGGTAATTATTCTCAAAAAGAGCAACAGTAATTATCTCTGAATGGTGGAATTCAGTGGCAATGGGCCATGGGATAGAAGACCTATAGACCTCCTATAGACCTTCACTCTATATTCCTTTAAAACTCAAAATAAATTTTAATACATAAAGAGACATGTACTTATGATGACGTAAAAGTTCTTTGTGGTGAAAATGGAATCACCAAGGAATGAGATTCAAATATTTTGGTTATAAACTTATACTTTGAAAAATCGAAGATTCCCTAATAGAAAAGCCAGGCTGCAGTTCCACACGCAGCCTCTGGGCGCCGCTGTCGGCCAGTGCAGAGCAAGCTCCAACGCCCGGGATCCCTCAGTCTCTTGCCTGGGATTTCCTGCGCAGCCACCAACACACAGAAGGAAACCCTCTCACTCCTGGAGAATACATGCACAGATTCCCATCCCCGAAACTGGGCTCCGCCTGTCCTGGACCGAATACTCTTCCAGCGTGGTAGATAACTTTCTCTCCCAGCTGCGAAGTGGGGGATCCAGTGAAAAACACCCGAGCGAGTGAGTGAGTGATGGGAGGGAGCTGCGCGCAGAGGCGATGCGCCGGCCGCGGGCAGGTACTGTTTCCCTGGCTGTTGCCTTTGTTCTATTCGGCGCTCGGAGAGCCGATCCGCTACTCCATTCCCGAGGAGCTGGCCAAGGGCTCGGTGGTGGGGAACCTCGCCAAGGATCTGGGGCTCAGTGTCCTGGATGTGTCAGCTCGGAAGCTGCGAGTTAGCGCAGAGAAGCTGCACTTCAACGTAGACGCGCAGAGTGGGGACTTGCTTGTGAAGGACCGAATAGACCGGGAGCAGATATGCAAAGAGAGGAGAAGATGTGAGCTGCAGTTGGAAGCTGTGGTGGAAAATCCTTTAAATATTTTTCATGTCGTTGTGATGATTGAGGATATTAATGACAATGCTCCTCAATTCCTAAAAGATGAAATAATCTTAGAAATAAGTGAATCCGTCAGCCCGGGAATGGGAACAATTCTTGAGTCTGCAAAAGATCCTGATATTGGTATGAATTCACTGAGCAAATATCAACTGGGTCCGAATGAGTATTTCTCATTAGTGTTGAAAGATAATCCTGATGGCGACAAATATCCAGAATTATTATTGCAGAAGACCCTGGACCGAGAAACACAAAGCACTCACCACCTGGTGCTGACAGCCTTAGACGGTGGGAACCCACCCCTAAGTGGTACTATTCAGATTAGAATCATAGTGGTGGATGCCAATGATAACCCTCCTGTGTTTAGCCAGGACGTTTATAGGGTTAGCCTCCGGGAAGACGTGCCTCCAGGCACCTCAGTTCTAAGGGTGATGGCCACTGATCGGGATGAGGGCATCAATGCAGAGTTCACCTACTCTTTCCTTGGAGTGGCTGACAAAGCCCAACGTGTGTTCTATCTGGATTCCAGTACTGGAAACATTGTAACTCACCAGCCCTTGGATTTTGAAGAAGTAGAAAGATACACAATGAATGTAGAAGTAAAGGACCGTGGATCTCTCTCTACACAGTGTAAAATAATCATAGAAGTTCTAGATGAAAATGACAACAGCCCAGAAATAATAATCACTTCTTTATCTGATCAGATTTTGGAGGATTCCCCTCGTGGAATGGTTGTGGCCCTCTTCAAAACAAGGGACCGAGATTCGGGGGAAAACGCAGAAGTCACTTGTAGTTTAAGTAGAAACGGTCCATTTAAGATACGTTCTTCTTCCAACAATTACTACAAGTTAGTAACAGATGGGGCCCTGGACCGGGAGCAGACCCCAGCGTACAACCTTACCATCACAGCCACTGACAAAGGCAAGCCACCACTCTCATCCGACATAACCTTCACCTTGCTCGTAACTGATGTGAATGACAACGCTCCCATTTTCCAAAAGTCCACCTACCTGGTCCATGTACCAGAAAACAACCAGCCCGGGGCCTCCATAACCCAGGTCGGAGCGTGGGATCCAGATCTGGGACCCAATGGCCAAGTCTCCTACTCTATTATTGCCAGCGACCTGGAACCCAAAACATTGTCGTCCTATGTGTCAGTGAACGCTCAGAGCGGAGTGGTGTTCGCACAGCGCTCCTTTGACCACGAGCAGCTGAGAGCCTTCGAGCTGACGATACAGGCGCGAGACCAGGGCTTGCCGGCTCTCAGCACCAACGTGAGTCTGCGCGTGTTGGTGGATGACCGCAATGACAACGCTCCTCGAGTATTGTACCCCGCGCTGGGGGCCGACGGTTCCGCGCTGTTCGATACGGTTCCTCGAGCCGCACAGCCCGATTACCTGGTCACCAAAGTGGTGGCGGTTGACGCTGACGCAGGTCACAATGCTTGGCTCTCTTACCATTTATTGCAGGCGACGGAACCCGGGCTTTTCAGCCTGGGACTACGCACTGGCGAGGTGCGCACTGTGCGTCCCCTGAACGACAAAGATGCATCCCGCCACCGCCTGCTAGTCGCTGTGCGTGATGGTGGACAGCCGCCCCTCTCAGCGACCGCCACGCTGCTCTTAATCTTCGCTGATAGCCTACAGGAGGCTCTGCCGGACATCGCAGACCACCCTATTCCCTCTGATCCTCAGGCAGAGCTGCAGTTTTACCTGGTTGTGGCTTTGGCCTTGATCTCGGTGCTCTTCCTTCTAGCAGTGATTCTGGCTATTTCTTTGCGTTTGAGGCAGTATTCCAACCCTGTAGCCAGAGGCTGCTTTGGATCAGTTTTCTGCTCAAAGTCTGGACCCGTGCTGCCCCCCAATTACAGCGATGGAACGTTGCCCTATGCCTGTAATATGCGTGGACACGGGGATCAAACTAACCCGGAATTTAATTTTCTTACTTCTGTTAATAATTTTCCTGCGGTACAAGATATTCTCAACAAAGATAGCTCTTCAGTGTTGTTGGCTAGCATTTTACCTCCTGGTGTTGAAGCAGAGAAGAACACGCTTGACCAGGTATTTAAAATGACGATTTTTATATTTCAATATGCCAGTGTAATACAATATAGTACTATTTCATGATTTTAGATAATATTTTGGTGAAGGTCTTAAGATAAATCTAGGTCAAACCTTTGGGTATTACCGTTAGAAAAAAAAAGTTTTCAATGCTTCAAAATCCTACCATACAAAGGTATTTTATAGTAAAATTATTGAGGGTTGGGGGTGTCGCTCCCTATGTTCCATTCCCAACATTCCCCACATATAAACAAGAAATCTCAGAGGAAATATTCATGAAAGTACCTTTTAGTTAAGGATATGAAATAGTTATATTTTATCATGGTATTTTAAATATCAACCCTAATGCTGTTTAAATTTTATCAAAAGTTTTATCTTTATTATACTCACAAAAATGGTAAGAATTAGTCATTCATTCTACTTGATAATTTTGTGGGGACCATGCTATCTCCACGTCCACAAATGCCTGCTCCCATCAGTCAGTAAAATTAATTAGAAYGAAGTTTTCAGTCCCGGTAGAATTTGAAATTTTTTAAAAATTGAACAAGTTCTTTTAATAATCATTACTTTCATAAGTGCTTTTGGTAAACATTTAGCATCTCATTACATAACTATTGTTTGCGGTTTTAAGCTTCATAAATACGTATGATTCACAGAGGTAAGTGTTAACAATTTCTTCTGGAACCGGCACATCAGTTTTTCTTAGTGGTTGCAATAATAAAAGTGAGCTCTAGGCGCCGCTGTTCACCAACCAGGGAATGGGAGGCTGCGAGCTATTGAGCCCCTTCCCCGACCTCTACTACACAAAGCAGAATAAGATGGATACTCACAGATCCTGATGCTGGAAACTTAAAAGCACTTTCCTTCGCTTTCTAATATATTTTGGATGCGGACGGCCTGGGACCTCGTGGACAGACACGTAAGCTGATTCAGAACAAACCCGCTCTAGACACTRCGGATTATCGGCTCGATCCCGGCCATGGCGAATCCGCCCCAGAGCCTGGAACGCAGCGCGCTGGTGCTGCTGTGTATTTTCCTGGGGACGCTGCGGGAATCTGGAGCCGGACACGTCCGATACTCTGTGCTAGAAGAGGTGGACAAAGGCTTCTTCGTGGGCAACATCTCCAAGGACCTAGGGTTGGAGCCCCGGGAGCTGACCGACCGCGGAGTCCGCATCATCTCCCGGGAGAAGACGCAGCTTTTCGCTCTGAATCCGCGAGGTGGCAGCTTGATCACCGCGGGTAGGATAGACCGGGAGGAGCTCTGTGAAACGGTTTCCTCCTGCTTTTTAAATATGGAGATTCTTGTGGAGGACACYCTGAAGATTTATGGAGTGGAGGTAGAAATAATGGATGTTAATGATAATGCTCCCAGCTTCCGGGAAGAGGAAATAGAGATAAAAGTCAGTGAGCACGCAGCTCCTGGATCGAGATTTCCTCTACCTAACGCTAGGGATCCAGATGTGGGAGCGAACTCTCTCCAGAGCTACCAACTCAGCCCTAATAGTTACTTTTCCTTGCAAATGAGAGGCGGAACTGATGGGGCCAAGAATCCAGAGCTAGTGCTGGAGCGAGGTCTGGACCGGGAGAAAGAGGCGGCTCACCTCCTCCTCCTCACAGCCTTAGATGGAGGCGATCCCATCCGCAAGGGCTCAGTTCCCATTCGCGTGGTGGTCCTGGATGTAAATGACCACATCCCAAAGTTTACACAGTCTGTGTATAGAGTGAGTGTTCCTGAAAACCTCAGCTCTGGAACTCGAGTGCTCGTGGTAAATGCAACGGATCCAGATGAGGGTCTCAACGGGGAAGTGATGTATTCGTTCCAGAATACAGAAAGCAAAGCTTCTGAAATATTCCAGTTGAATTCTCAAACTGGCGAAGTTCTAGTACAGGGGCCTCTGGATTTTGAAAAATATAGGTTCTATGAGATGGAAATTCAAGGCCAAGATGGTGGCGGTCTCTCGACCACTGCTAAGATGTTCGTTACAGTTTTGGATGTGAATGATAATGCTCCAGAAATAACTATCACCTCTTCTATTGATTCAGTGTTGGAAAATTYGCCTCCAGGTACAGTAATTGCTCTTCTAAATGTGCAAGATCGAGATTCTGGAGAAAATGGTCAGGTCTCCTGTTTCATTCCTAACAATCTCCCTTTTAAGTTAGAAAAAACTTATGGAAATTATTACAAGTTAATAACAAACAGCGAGCTGGACAGAGAGCAAGTCCAGAGCTATAACATAACATTGTCAGCCAAAGACCAAGGAAGTCCATCCCTATCTACAGAAATTCACCTCTTACTGAATGTGGGAGACAAGAACGATAACCCTCCAGTCTTCACTCACTCTTCTTACTCTACCTATGTTTCTGAAAACAATCCTAGAGGATCCTCCATTTTCTCAGTGACCGCTCTTGACCCAGATAGCAAAGAGAATGCCCAGGTCACTTATTCTGTCACAGAAGACATGATCCAAGGGGCACCTCAGTCCTCCTATGTATCTATCAACTCGGATACTGGGGTGCTGTATGCATTGCGCTCTTTTGACTATGAGCAGTTCCAAAACCTACAACTGAGAGTGACTGCATGTGATAGCGGGGACCCACCACTCAGCAGCAATGTGTCAGTGAATCTGTTCATACTGGACCAGAATGACAACATTCCTGAGATCTTGTATCCCATCCTCCCCACTGATGGTTCCACTGGGGTGGAGCTAGCACCCCGATCTGCAGAGCCTGGATACCTGGTGACCAAAGTGGTGGCAGTGGATAGAGACTCAGGACAGAATGCCTGGCTGTCCTACCGCCTGCTCAAAACCAGCGAGCCTGGGCTCTTCACGGTGGGGCTGCACACAGGTGAGGTGCGCACTGCCCGGAACCTACTGGAAAAAGATGCACTCAAGCAGAGCCTCGTGGTGGCCGTCCAGGACCATGGTCAACCTCCCCTCTCAGCCACTGTGACGCTCACAGTGGCAGTGGCTGACAGTATCCCAGAAGTCCTGGCCGACTTGGGCAGTCTGGAGTCTTCCACCAACCCAGATGAATCAGGCCTCACACTCTACCTAGTTGTGGCCATCACAGCGGTCTCCTGCATCTTCCTCATCTTTGTCATTGCGTTGCTGGCACTCAGACTGAGGCACTGGCATTCCTCACGTTTGCTCCAGGGAGCAGGCAGCGGGTTAGGGGGCACSCCCGCCTCTCACTTTGTGGGTGTAGAGGGGGTGCATGCTTTCCTACAGACCTATTCCCATGAGGTRTCCCTCACTGCTGACTCTCGGAAGAGCCACCTGATCTTCCCGCAGCCCAACTATGCAGACACGCTCATCAGCCAGGAGAGCTGTGAGAAAAGCGAGCCTCTCTTGATAGCTGAAGACTCAGCTACTGTTTTAGGCAAACATGACCCAACAAACAATCAGGTGAGATTTATTCTACCCAATTGTTAATGCGTTGGTACAAGGGTTTTAAGGGATTTTTTTCAGAGCCTGTTAAGAAAACTGGGTTTAGGGCAGGTGAAAGTTCATACACATTTAGAATATCCATGAGTTCTTATACTTTACCTTTCATCAGATTTTCCATCATTTTGCACAAAGACTTTGTGGAAGTCATTTTTTTTTTTTTTAGTACTGGCATATTTTCTTTTGATTTCAAAGGTCTAATTCATCTTGGCTTACTTTGTAGTTAAGTTGAATTTTAGTATTATTTTTCTATCATCATTGTCTGTGGCTATCAATATAAACTGATTAATTCAATTTAAGGATTCACAGTTTTTAGTTATTTTCACAGTCTTCCAATTTGACTATGTCTCCACTGATTACAGTTACATTCTATCATTATTTACTATTACTTCTAATGTCAAAGTTAACCATATTGATTCAATAGCTTGTTTCTTCTGTTCTATTCATATGCACACTTATACATGTAACCATTTTTCTAAGCATAAAGCAATTCTATTTTGCTTTTTGATGATTGATGATATATTTAGATTGTATAGACTGTTTCAACTTTGCCTCATTGCTTCATCCTATCAAGATAGATTTGAGTAGGTTTTAATTATTGAACTTGCTTGGTAGAGGAAATGTAGAACTTTTTTTCCTTAAGTTCCAGATATCTTTTTTATTACTATGATGAAGTCAATAGATTGTTCTCAAGAAATAATCAAATMATTGAACTGGTATTATTTCCTTTTGTTCTTTACTGTCTGTGTAGAAGACTTTTTAATGTAGTAAGTTCACATATGATAAAATTTTGATCCAGTGCTTCTCAAAAAGTTATTTTCAAATCTGTTAAAAGATTTATTTTCAGATTTATTTATATAGAATAGTTTCTGAGTTATGTAAGAGATTGAGTAGGTATTTAGACTTCATAAGAGATTGATTTAGGGGTTAAGCTCTGTGGTTTAGCTCAGCAGTAGAGCATGTGTTWAGCATGCCCAAGGCCCTGGATTCAATCCCAGCACACACAAAGAGACTGATTTAACTGGTATTCTTCTGGGTATTTTTTGTTCCTTTTCAAACTATCTAGGAAGTATGGGTTCTTGCTTTCTTTCCTTCATAAATTCACTTTGTATTCTATATAATTATACTCAATTACTGTTTGAGAAACAACTTTTTATTGACACTTTGATAGTTATTTAATGATATACATGTTATCTAAAGCAATGCCTAGAAAAACCAAGTATGAAAATGGAGACTTACTTAGGGTATCTGATCACAGGAATCATTTTCATCATCAGTTAAATTCAGTATTCTCACATAATTTCTAGATATTTGTGCATTAATGTTCCCTTTCAAGTTTATGTTTTACATTTAGAAGTTGGCCTTAATATAATTAACTGTTAGTTGAGTACCTAGTGTTTGGGGGAGGGATCAATTGTAGAAAGGGAATTCTTCTGACAGATGCCTAAATTAGTCTTGAAGTCAAGAAAAATGCTGGAGTGTTGTGAGTATCTCAGTCGTTCGTTCATTTGGAGAAAAGATTTTTGCCTCGTTCTCTTCTAACGTGCATTTCCTCTGATTAGAAAAAGACCAACTGTTAACCTCTTATTACTATATGAGCCTATATCTCTACTGTATAAGCCCATCTCCAAGAAACCTTCTTTGATAATAAAAACTGGAAAATAAACACATCCAAAATTCACCAAGTTCCCTATATATCAATCTAATTTATCTGTTGGAAATCCAAATCCCATTAAATTTGCAAAGGCTTCGGACTGCTGTTTTCTAAATAGACTCTGAGTGTCGCTGTTGGCCAATTTGCTGCAAGAGCTGGATCCTGAGATCCACCCAGAGTGGTATTCTGCATAGTCACAGAAGCCAGGGTGAAAGGAGAGTGGCCGGGACTTGTGTTTTGTTTTAGGCAAGAATCCGTTGAGATTGGGATACACTCAAACTAGGAGCATTGGGTTTTCTCTGCAGTGGAAATAAATATTTTAAAAGCAATTTGTGAAGCATCTTATCTTAACATCGAGGCTGCAACAACACAAAAAGAAGAATGGAATATAGGGCGAAGAAAAGGAGCAGGACCCTCTATCGGCAAGTACTCTTTCCTTTCCTGCTGCCTTTGTTCTGCGCAGCTCTTGGGAAGCAAATCCACTATTCTATTCCAGAAGAAATGGCCAGGGGCTCGGTGGTGGGGAACCTTGCTGAGGACCTGGGGCTGAATGTTCAGGATTTACTGACCCGAAACCTTAGAATTGGTGCAGAGAAAAAATACTTTACTATAAACACTGAGAATGGGAATATACTTGTGAGTGAAAGAATAGATCGGGAGTTGCTCTGCTCCCAGAATTCCCTGTGTGTTGTGCCCTTAGAGATTGTAGCAGAAAATCCTCTAAATGTTTTTCACATAAACGTGATGATAGAGGATATAAATGATAATCCACCCAACTTCCCCCAGAGCAGCATTGTTCTACAAATCAATGAACTTGCAATTCTGGGGACTCGGTTTGGCCTGGAATCTGCTATAGATGCAGATGTAGGACCTCACTCTCTCCAGGATTACCAGCTCAGCTCTAACGAACATTTCTCTTTGATGGTGAAGGGCAAGTTGGAAGACAAAATTGCCCCTGAATTAGTGTTGGAAAAGCCCCTGGATCGGGAACAACAGAGCTCCCATCTCCTGATCCTGACAGCAGTGGATGGGGGAGACCCAGTCCTGACTGGCACAACTCAAATTCAAATCAAGGTCATTGATGCCAATGATAACCCACCAGTGTTCAGCCAGGATATATACAAAGTCAGCCTTAAAGAGAACATGCCCCCAGGCACCTCTGTGCTGAAGGTGACAGCCACCGACCAAGATGAGGGCATCAATGCAGAGATCACCTACTCCTTCAAATCACTAGGACATAATATTGGAAATAAGTTTATGCTAGACCATCAAAATGGAGAAATTATATCCAAAGACCCTATAGACTTTGAAATCAGTAGCCATTATACCATAAGCATAGAAGCCAAGGACGGTGGAGGCATGGCCACAGAATGTAAAATTATACTAGAAATTCTAGATGAGAATGACAATGCTCCAGATGTGGTTTTTACCTCAGTGTCCAGTTCCATAACCGAGGACACAAAGCCAGGCACCGTGATTGCTCTGTTCAAAACACATGACAAAGATTCAGGAGAAAATGGGGAAGTCACATGCCTCATAAAAGAAAAACTTCCTTTTAGAATTGAATCTTCCGCCAATAATTACTACAAACTTGTAACAGATGGGACCCTGGACAGGGAGAAGACCCCAGAGTACAATGTYACCATCACTGCTACCGACAAGGGCAAACCGCCCCTTTCCTCCAGCACAAGCATCACCCTACACATTGGCGACGTCAACGACAATGCTCCAGTTTTTCAGCAGGCCTCCTACATGGTGCACGTGGCTGAAAACAACCCTCCAGGATCTTCCATCGCTCAAGTTAGCGCCTCCGATCCAGATTTGGGGTCCAATGGCCAAGTCTCCTACTCCATCGCGGCCAGCGACCTGGAGCCTCGGGCATTGTTATCCTACGTGTCTGTGAGCGAACAGAGCGGCGTGGTGTTCGCGCAGCGAGCCTTCGACCACGAGCAGCTGCGTTCCTTTGAACTGACGCTTCAGGCTCGTGACCACGGCTCTCCCGCGCTCAGCGCCAACGTGAGCCTGCGCGTGTTGGTAGGCGACCGCAACGACAACGCGCCGCG